TACCATCCTGAGTGAGGCTCCTTTTACGGCCAGAAGAACGGGCTGGTACGATCGTACTTATGCGCCAGGACGGACCAATCCTCTCCGTCTAAAGTGCACTGGCGGCCGGGCCGCGATGGCGGCTTTTATCGGGCCGTGCGAGCTGGACAGTGGCGCCGCGGCCGCATAGTGAGGCGGCGCGCGCACTGCAGCCCGCCTCATATCGGCGCCCCCTCCAAACACACACATCGACCGCAAAAAGTCCGGCAGACGAGCCGCATTAGACGAGGCGCCACACAAAATGGTGATAGGCGCCGGCCTGGCTCGGACCGTCGCGCCGACCGGCCGGGAAGGCCAGACCACAGGGTCCGGTCCTCGGCAGACCAGACCACAAAGACCGGTCCTCGGCAGACCAGACCACAGAGTCCGGTCCTCGGCAGACCAGACCACAGAGACCGGTCCGCGGCAGAGCAGACCACAGAGACCGGTCCTCGGGAGACCAGACCACAGAGACCGGTCCGCGGCAGAGCAGACCACAGAGACCGGTCCGCGGCAGAGCAGACCACAGGGAGGGCCCGGTCCTCGGTAGACCGCCCGGTCACCTGGCCGCACAAACACGCCCCGCGCGCCATTTACGTCACATCTGGTCAGCAGCTTCCGCTCCAGCAGAGCGCAAACGCCGGCTCTGGCGACCGATACCGATCGGGCGGCGCCGAATCAAAGCCGAGACGGCGGCGACCGGCGAGATGCGGGCCGCCGCCGGCGCGAGCCGATGTTATCCGGCGGCCCGCCAGCGCGAGCGGCCGGCCGGCCCACGGGCCGACCATCGCGGCATTCCTCGACCGGAGACGGAGCACGGCAGCGGCTCCGATTGAGGCGTCACCGAGTGTCATCGGGCAGAGGCAGACCACTGAACGTCATTGGACAGGGACAGAGCACTGAGCGTCATCGGACAGAGATACATAGACCAACGAGTGTCATCGGACAGGGAAAGAGCACTGAGCGTCATCGGACAGAGATAGATAAAGATATAGATTTACATAAAGACCACCGAGTGTCATCGGACAGGGAAAGAGCACTGAGCGTCATCGGATAGAGACAAACCACCGAGTGTCATAGGACAGGGATAGAGCACTGAGTGTCATCGGACAGAGATAAACATATTACGTCTTACGAGCGAGCGGAGCCAGCGAAGTCTTACGTAGAATAGCAGAACTTTCTGATTATGACAATGAGCGGCCGGCCGGCCGTGGTCAAGCTTTTGCGGAGCTTATATCTCCGCAGGCGCAATCACTAGCAAAAACTCCGCAAATTGTCAATTTGCGCCATTTAACCGATCGTCTATAAGCGTTACGTTCAAATCAGCTACATATAAACCAGTGCTGCGGAGTCGATGGATATTTAGGTGACTACGACTCCGACTCAGGCTTTCAATAAACCAGCCCCGACTATGACTCCAACTCTGGGCAGACCTGTCGCCTCCGAGCGACTTCAAATTCGACTCCGACTCCGGCTCGTACTCCGCAACCCTGAATTATAAACTACCCTTTTTTAACTCCACATCTTTCGAATTGTATTGCACACTGCGCAGTACCTCAGCCATGCTGAAGTTGGCGGGCCACTTTTGAGTAATATGTACAACTCAACAAGCATGGCCATGGGCCACATCAGGGAAAAGCTGGCAAAAATGCTGTCAAACAGCTTATTTATATTAATCATCACAAATATGGTGGCTCTTTGGCTCCGAGCGTCAACTTACTTCAAGTTATTTCTCAGCGTGCGTAAATCGCATGTCAAAATTAATTCTAGTTTATTTCAACATCGACATGCCTTATTTTCTGCACCGATCACACTAAATAATGTGATTTTATTGCATCATTTTATTACAGTGAATTAAAATTATTGGAGAAGCTGGTTTATTGTAACAAAATGCTACGGTAAATGCATCTAGTGAAATGTATTAAGCTTTTATAGCGACATGTCAAATAAAGACGCAACTAATGCGCACAGACATGGCAGGATGTAATTGTAGACTGAATACCGGCTGCAGCACCTGGCCCAGCTTCGATGACTTTGACCTGACTTTCACGTGACCTTGACATACACCAGGAAGCAGCATCTTTTCATTTGTTTGAGCATTTACAACCAAAAGAAAACTGGAAACGCGCGGACGATGTGAGCTGAGACGCCGAATCACAATGCCGGCCAAACATGGTTTCGTCGGGGAGCATTCATTCTGGCCAGGGTTCATAATGTCCAGGGTACGCTATGCCCAGTGTCAAAATGGCCAGTGCCTTGAATGGGCCAAAGTTCATAATGTCCAGGGATTACATGGTCCAAATGTGGCCAACTGGCTGCAGATAGGGTATATTCAAAGAGGCCAGGGTTCATAATGTCCAGGGCACGATGTGTCCAGTGTTCAAAATGGCCAGGGTTCATAATGTCCAGGGCACGATGTGTCCAGTGTTGGAAATGGCCAGGGTTCATAATGTCCAGGGCACGATGTGTCCAGTGTTCAAAATGGCCAGTGCCTTGAATGGGCCAGAGTTCATAATGTCCAGGGATTACATAGTCACTGAAAGTGACGTCATTATGTAAAAAACACGGAATCAGCTCAATGCAAAGCAGTGCAGTGCCGAAGGCAATGCCTTAGGAGAGATTACAGGCAATAGTAAATCAAATATTTTTAGGTTAAGTGGTTATGTATCTGGCTTCAGGCCGAATAAGTGGTTATGTATCTGGCTTCAGGCCGAAGGCCTGAAGCCTGATGCATAACCACTTAACCTAAAAATATTTGATTTACTATTGCTTGCAATCTATTCATGCGAGAAACTATTTCCTTATCCCTGGTAGGCAAACATCATTACCTTAGGTTAGGTTAGGTTAGGTTAGGTTAGGTTAGGTTAGGTTAGGTTAGGTCAGGTTAGGTTAGGTTAGGTTAGGTTAGGTTAGGTTAGGTTTGGTTGGGTTGGGTTGACTATGTAATCCCTGGACACTATGAACTCTGGCCCATTCAAGGCACTGGCCATTTTGAACACTGGACACATCGTGCCCTGGACATTATGAACCCTGGCCATTTCGAACACTGGACACATCGTGCCCTGGACATTATGAACACCAGCCATTTTGAACACTGGACACATCGTGCCCTGGACATTATGAACCCTGGCCTCTTTGAATTTACCCTATCTGCAGCCAGTTGGCCACTTTTGGACCATGTAATCCCTGGACAATGTGAACACTGGCCAATTCAAGGCACTGGCCAATTCGAGCACTGGACACATTGTGCCCTGGACATTATGAACCCTGGCCTAAATAATACGCACCCGTTTCGTCGCATCGGATTTCGGCGTTTTTGCGCAAGTTTTTGCCCAAAAATCGAGAGAGTTCTAAGTTCGAGGGTTAAAAATGACAATAGCCGTTTTCACAACGGGCCATCTGGTGAATGCACGTAATCAGACCAAATCTGCACCAAATCCCTTTTACACCAAATATCGTTATTTATATCATGACTTTATTTCGGTGTTTCAATAGAAAACAATGTCTGATACTTTGACAAATGAGGTATATAAGCAACTGTGCAACCCGAACTGACACCTTTAAAAAACACAATAAACCTTCTTTGACCAGATGGCCGTCGCGAAAACGGCTAATATGTAGAATGTATAACATAGATGGAAAACATCGATTTATCTAACTAGGTGCTATGCATGTAAAATCGTATTTGAAATGCTTACGGTATAAACGTTCCTTTGATGCTATGCGCATTAAAGATAAAGGGCTATTAGAGTCGATCTATGGCCCAGCCAGGCGGATGGGTGACTGTTTTGTCGGACCAATCATTCGAAAAGATCACTGAGTGGAAACGGTATTCCGAGGTATTCCATAAATGGCCGTCGGCCGTCCGCTCATTAAAAATGATGGCCGATATCTGAGAACGTCAGAACGAGAACTGGACCGGCAGCGCTCCACGGAGTCAAAGGACCCAGTGCCAAAACGAGGGCGTTGGTCCGAATCTATCTAAGCAATGCACGCTTCCACTTCTTCGCGACATCATGGTGTCAGCAGTCAGGCTGTTATTCAGAAACGCGTCTAACTATTTGGTTTTGAATCAAAGATTTCATGAGAGATGCTTGTGATGTTAGATCCGTCTTGGGACTTTTGTGATTGCCCCAATATTTGACGTAAGCCGCCAGAGAGACGTCCTACTCAATGCAATCATATAAAAGAAAAAACAATGCTAGTTTTCCGTCATGCTCATATTAATTTTCGATCTACTCTACCGCCCGGAGATCAGAGGCGTGTGACCGACCGAGTGGGACCCCCCCCCCCTCCCCCATGGATCCATGCCTGCCGATCTGTCCCTCCACTGGCCATCCCCTCCGATGGAGCTGTTTCTCTGACGGGCCTCTCTGACGGCAGGGACCGGCCACTCGACCCGGCGGCGCGTGCTGTATTTGTTCAGGACCGCCGCCGACCCTGTCCTGTCCGGCCGGCCGGTGGGTATATCGCAGATAATGGACCGCCGCCCAGCACCCGACCATGTGTGCGCGCCCGGCCAGCGACAAATGGCCCGCCTATCTCCGCTGTAAATCTGTCCCCGCACTAATTGACCCTACAAACAATTGCAATTACCACTCACAGCATTCGTCAAGTGCTTCTTTTATGGCCCCTTCAGCGGATGAAGCGGTGGGTGTCTCTTCCCCGGCTCGTCATTTGCCGTCAGAGGAGGTGGAAGGAGCGCACTGGCGAGCTAATGCGCCGGACGGAAACTTTCCAATGTTTCGGGCTATTTTCCATTGTTAATTCGCCATAAAATCATGTATCTGCGGCGTAATGGTTGTTTGGCCAATCCGGGTCTCCAGTCGGCCCGATTAATGGCCGGGGCGGAGCCTGCGCTCAAAGCGCGCGCTCATTGGTCGAGCCGCTCTTTAGCGGCGGAATTAATCGATGCGGACCAATGAGCGGGCGGCTGGCGTGCGGCGGCGGCCGGCGCCGGGCCGCGCCGGAGAGCTCGGCCGGCCGCCGCGGAGACGGCAGCGTGTGTCGGCTCAGGTGACCGGCAGGTGGCCGCCAGAGACAGAGTGGAGCCGCCGCCGACCGGCCGCGCGCGCCAGTGCACCCTGTGTACGTACCTACCTGTGACAGCGCGCCGCCATGATCGAGTCGCCGGCCGCCCTGCCGGCCTCGCCGCCCCGCGTCGGCGCCGACGAACACGACGACGAGATCAACGTGGACGACGACAGCCGGCCGTCGTCGCCGGGGTCGGAGCCGGACCGGAGCGCCGCCGAGTCGCCGCCGCCCGCCAGCGCCCGCATCTCGTTCAGCATCTCGCGGCTGCTGGGCGGCGGCGGCGGCGGCGGCTCCCCGGGCGGCGAGCGGCGCGCGGCGCGATCGCCGCCGTCGCCGGCCGGCCGGCCGCTGACACCGCACCAGAAGGAGTCGCGCGCCGTGGCGCCCTTCTCGTACGCGCCGTTCTACACGGCCGTGTCGTCGGGCGCGCTGCCGCCCACGCTGCTGCCCGAGCAGTACGCGGCCGCCCTGTACGACCCGTTCGCGGCGGCCGGCGCCGGCGGCGTGATCCGCGTGCCGGCGCAGCGGCCGGCCGCCGGCCCGCTGGCCGCCCCCTTCGGCTGGCTCGGCCCGGCGGCGGCGGCCGCGTCGGCGCTCAACCCGCTGCACCGGACGGCCGCGCTCGCCTCGCAGCTCGTCAGAGACAGGTTCGGAGGTGAGTGGCCACTGCGCCGGGGGAGCGGACTGGGCCGAGCGGGGAGCAGAGTGGGTAGGGTGGCGAGATGACTGCGTCGTTGATGGTGAAAAGCGAGGGCGCCGCTAAAGCCAAGACAACAGAGAGAATTGAGCAAAACGTACCGCTTCTCCGAGTTGCGGGTGAGGATGACACAAGAGATCTGAATCTGTGGTGTGATCTCTCCCTGAGGGGCTGTTCAAAGTGTGGAACTGTTAACCACCTCCGCCACGTATATCGACATTTTTAGGGCGTCTTGTGTCGTAACTGCTGGCTTTGCTGATATTGCAATTACACAAGTTGAGATGCCTAATTTAAATTTTAAGATAAGGTTTCGTTCGGCCTTCCAAAACATTTGGGTACCTGAATCCCAGCAGGCTGCAATAAGTTACTATGCCTTCCCAGAAGGCAGCGTAGGTTTAATTACTCGAGGGCAGCGCTTTTCGAGGAGCGCTATGGCCCGAAGGTTTGGACTTTGAAATGTGAAAAACGCCCGCCCGCCGCAAAACGCAAACACCGCAAAACGCGCAAAACGCACGCCCGAAACGCCAACGCAAACGTCGCAAAAAATAAACAAACGCCCGCCCGTAGGTTTAATTATGAATGCTGTTCTGTATCCATGAAGCACCGGTAAGTCATGGCGATAGTTTTAGCCTCGCTAGTCGCCGTCGAACTTGAAGCTACCACTGCACTGATGACAGTTTTCTATACTTATAGCACTTAATCTGATAAAATCACTGAGAACTGGAGAGATGTGCCATGTGTACGTCGTTTAATGCAAGGCGTTTTGTAGCTTCGAGTGAGAAGTGCCCGACTCTCAATAATGTCTCTGGATTGATTTTAATTTGATGACGGTGTTTGAAGTTTTCCACAAAAGGAGCGTCTAACGTTGTCAGCGTGTATCATGCTGCCGGTGATCGTTAGCTGGCGATCCATTCCATTACCCTGCCAAACGAGAGCGTCGCCGGTCGCCGACAGTCGGCGCAGGTCGGCTTCCTAACGAGCAGCCTCACATGGACTCGATGCGACGCTGTACATTCCAAGATTCGTGCGATAGTGCGATATCGACCTTGAGGCTCGAGTGACTGCTGATACACGTACGGCGTCCGCCAGTGTCGCCAGTTATTTCATGGCGAGAGATCAAGAAAGGGCGCACTCAGTACCGAACGACCTTTCACAGATTTTGCCATGATCAATCGTTGACCATCTTTTGACCATATTTGCTCGATCATAAGGGTTTTGGGAGAGATATAATAGCAGATTGTTGACCGCATTGAGGTCCCCTGATTTTAGTCAGCGGCCTAGCTGCAGTGAGCCGACCGGGTGGCAGTATCCACACCACTGGAGCGCTGCTGGACGGCCGCCTGGCCTGCGACCTGTGGCGATAACGGCCCGGCTCGGGCCTGTCCAAAGTCCTGTGAAATCTCTACCTGATCGTGTCGGCAGCCGGTCCCACGAGGCCGCTGCAGAGCCGGCTGCGGGTCGCCCTGAGCGCCGCCCTGAGACCCGTGTCCACGGCGGCGGCTAGTCCCCCCGGCCGCACGGCCAGCGGAGACCGCCGGGACGGTACGGTCTGCACCACTGAGGTCCTAAATCGTGGCTGTGGCTGTCAGGAACACTCGAAACGGTACGAGACTTGTCTGCTGGATCACGTGGGATGGAAGAAACCTGCGTGCTGCAAAACTGTATAGCAGGAGCGGGATGAAGATCCTTGGATATCCGTTAGAAGTCGTTCGGAAGGTGATCACATATGAAATCTTTTTTTTTTATTTTTTGTCCCATACCTATTGAATTGTCCACCATGTGAAACATAGTGGAACAGGTATGCAGGAGTGCCCTTCCATGCCCATGTGACCTGGCTACGTTAAGTACCATGGAACTTCATTCAAGGAGGGGAATTCAAGCACATTAGGTCACATCACTCCCCGCTCTTTTTTCAAGCTATGGACAGCCCGCCACCACAGGTATTAGTAAAAAGGTTACCCCTGGGGACCCAGCAGACAGATAGCATGGCTAGTGACGTCCGCTGAGTACCCAGGGCTGACAATGGTTAGGTAGGATAAGGACAAAAAAGACGAATGAAAAAAAGCAAACAATGTATGCATAAACAAAACAAAAGAAAAAAACAACAACAAGAACACGTGACGAAAACTGCGTAATAAATATTCTTGTAGAAAAGAGACTTTAATAGTTTGTCAAGTGATTTACGCGTTAACTGTCCTTAAAAAAATATATCACGAGAAAAACAAATGAGTATTAAATAACCGGTCACAATATTTGTATTGAAAAAAAAACTCAGCAAATAATCGAGAAAAACGATTGAAGAGGTAATAGGCCAAAGCATGGATGACATTACAGATCATACAATACGCCACAAACTGATCTAGCTCAGTTATATAAAATGTAACGTACTGGTACGTTCTCCTAATCGCCATATTCTTTGATGAGCACCGACTTAACAAACTTTTTAAGAATAACCTTGCTTCTGGGGACATCGGCAAGTTGAGGGAAGTCTTTGGCAACAATAGAATTCCATGCCTTAGGAGCACTGAACGAAATGGAAGAAATCCGGAAATTAAAACGAGAAAAGGGCGTAACAAAATGTTCAGGCGACCTCACAATAATGGAAGTACTAAGTTTGAATAGGTCAGACACTTCAGCTGGAAGGGTTCCAGTCAAAAAAGATAGTAGAATAACGATTGTCTGTAGTTTGGTAAGCTCAGGCATTTTAAGGATGCCGTGTTTAACAAATAAGGTACGGGACGGGTAAAGGAAAGGTTTGTTATCAATTATCCTCAAGGCTCTCTTTTGAAGCAACGTTATTCTATGAAGTCTGTGTAGGTACGCATTACCCCATATGGCAGCACAGTAGTTAAGATGAGGAAGAACAATACTGTTGTATAAAAGTAAAAGCTCCCTTGCCGAAAGAAACGCTCTGACACGACCCATTAAGCCAATACTACAGCTTATTTTCTTACAGACTAAGTTGATATGCGATTCCCATTTCAAGTTTTCATCAATCATTACTCCTAGGTATTTTATTGAAAAACATCTCTTGATCTTAGTTTCATTGATGATGATTTCCATTTCTTTGTCATTTGAGATAAGTGAATATAGCTGGTAATAAGTTTTAGTCGGGTTGAGTGTTAATTTATTGCTTAGGCACCATCTCCTAAGCATCGGAAGGAAGTTATTCATTTGATTTTGAATATGGTCATAAGAAGGCCCTTTCACTATGATTGCTGTATCGTCAGCAAATAATAAAAACTTCACTTGGTTAGAGATATTGACGATATCATTTATATAAATTATGAATAATAATGGGCCAAGTATCGAGCCTTGCGGTACTCCCAGCTTAATATCTGTCAGTTTAGATAAATAGTTATCCACCTCTACTAACTGTCTCCTATTGTTGAAATAAGATTTCAAGATACTCAGCAAAGGACCACGTATCCCGATATGATGAAGCTTTTTAATCAAAATATTAATATTAACAGTATCAAAAGCTTTTTTTAAATCCAAGAAAAGACCTAGCACCTTATCATTATTTTCTAGTCCTTTTGTAACATCCTCCACAAGAAGAGAAATAGGCATATATGTGCTATGCTTTTTCCTAAAACCATATTGACAGTGGTGGAGAATATCATATTGATCAAGGAAGTTTATAATATACGAGTGTATTATTTTTTCAAGTATCTTCGAAAAGATAGGCAGTAATGAAATAGGTCTATAGTTATTAAACGAGTCCTTATCTCCCGATTTATAAATAGGAACAACCAGAGCTATTTTGAGACGATCAGGAAAAATGGCAGCATGTAGGCATAAATTAAAGAAGTGAGTTAAATGGTGCAGGCACTTTTTGTAAGTGGCTACTAATATTTTGGTACTGATTTTATCAATACCACCTCCAACAGAGTTTAAACTTAAAATGATTGACTCAACATCTGCTGCTGATGTAACTAAAGGCTCATTAAAAGTCGGAAAGTCTCCATTAGGTAAGAAACGTAATGGATCATCATCTGATGTAGGCATTTCACTCTCAAGTTTTTCCGCAACTGATGTAAAAAACTCATTGAATCCATTAGAAATATGTTCCGGAGAACGTACTGATCCATCTTCATTAGCAAAGAACTTGGACAAATTTGATGGTTGTCTAGAATGATTTAGAGCTTCTTTCATGACTTTCCAGGTTTTGCTGCTATTGCCTTTAGCAACTCTAAATGCACTCTGAAAATATGCTCTTTTTGCATTCCGTATTATATTGGTTAAGTTATTTCTGTATTGTTTATACCTAGTCTCATTTAACTCATTGCGGGTACCTATGAATTTCTTATATAAATTGTTCTTTCTATTTATTGAACATAAAATAGCTGGCGTTATCCAGGGCTTGTATGGGGTTTTCCTCCGAGATAATAATTTGGGCCGTGAAAATTTTGTAATGCCCTGGGTGAAAGCATCAATCAGTACATTACAAGCAGCATTTGGTTCATTTAAGGTATGGAAGTCAACTAGCTGTGTCTCCAGAAAGGTGCCGAGGTCTTCTGCTCGCCTCATGTCAAACACCATCTTAGGTGAGGGATTTCTCAGACTTTCAGTATCAAATGAAAGATTTAAGAAAATGGGAAAGTGGTCTGATATATCTGCAGTGATAATACCTGAGGTTCTGTAGAAAGTCTTATCATTAATAAAGAAGTTATCGAGCAATGATGATTGGTCACAAGTGACGCGTGTAGGTTTCGAAATCAAATGCTCATAACTATAAGATGACATCAAATCACGGAATTCTTGTACATGCTTATCACTAACTTCTTTCAACAAATCATAGTTAAAATCACCTAATATAACTGCAAACTTGTTTGAGTTTGCAATTTTTTGTAAAGTTTCTTCCATGTTACACTTGAATGTTGTATGAGAAAAACTAGGAGGTCTATAGACAACTCCAACAACCATACTCTTACGCACTTTCCCATGTGTCACAAACA